AATGTGGTTCGTCATAACAAGGAAAAGCACTTCTTGCACGTGTGGTTTTAAATTGTTTGTTAGCAGCTATCCACCTGTAAAATATTTATAACAGTTATACAATATTTACGATCTAAAAATAATTTTAGAAAAAGTTGGAACTATTCGATGAAATATAATTCTGTATTTGTTTAAATACAGATTTTCTCCATATAAATCGAAGTGCAGTGAAAAGCGATCAACACGCAAACCTACTTTTTTACACGCTGGTAGGCATCGTAAGAGGTGTGGAAAATATTGGATGCATCGTCGTTCAAATAACCACTATAGTCAATATGTATTTTGTATTTTCGTTTTGCCAAAATATGTCCGACTACCTTGACTTTTACTCGTTCAAGGTCTTCCACGTATTTCCAAGAGTCAACCCTGACATCACCGTTAGTGTCATCATCCGTTATCCTGATTTCGTGCAACATCAAGTCCTTGGAGTTCAACGTGATCTCGGACGTGGTGGTCTTCACTAGGATCGAGATATCCACTCGGCCCGCGAACGAAGGCTCTGTCGCATTAAAGTCTGGCACCAAGTTTAGTGCGTACCATTCCGGTGAAGTGTCGTCCGGCAATCGTCCGAAATCGATGGTCGGCTTGTCATCGTATCCACGGACGTGATGTGCATACAAAACGAGAAACACAATAATTGATTGCGGACGCATATTGTCAAATGCACACAACTTACTAATGGCAAGAGTACCAACAAAAATAAATGACAGAATCAGTTCGATTCAAATCCAAGCACCTATATTCTATGAAACGATACGGTATGCAATTACCATTATCTTATCGGTTATTGGACGAGTAACGAGAAACGCGCCGAAGCGTTTGCGTTTTTTTTTGATACGTTGTATAAACATCGAGGTACTTGTCTTGTGCGCCATAATGTTAATTATAAACATGATTCTGTTAAAGCCACGTCAAAAAGGTATAAAAAACTATAGAAAGTAACAAGTGCACGCCTAGTAGCTTAGTACTGCACTGGAATAAAACCACATTAAATTTGTCTGCACTTAATACATATTGTTTAATGTACCGATATCTACATTTAAGTCATATCGATTGACTGATATATTTCATACGATAACCACAATCAAAATATTATAATCCTAATGTTAWTWGACCACATTAAAGACGGAGCTCAATTCATAAATATTGTTAAATATTGTCCTATTTGATATTATTTTATACATGCATGTATAGATAGGTACGAAACGTACAAACAATTAGGTTATACTTATATGGTTTCAAAATAATATAAATATCTGTATATAGCTTTTTTTTTGTTTTTTTTTTTTAAATTATTGGATACCATAAAGTATTTTAACAACCATACCAATCATACAGACAAATGGCTTAGAATTGAACATTGATACAATTTTTACAGAGTGTTTGAATTAAATTTATTAAAATTAATTCATAGTGATATATAAAATATACAATATTATATACACATCACCTGAAACCGCTAGTACATAATGAGACAAGACGAGATATCAAGCCTCCCAATAATTTTGTAATGTATCAAAGCACTTGACTTTTCAACATCATTTTATCTCGTATTGATTAAAAAATATATTGTACATTTTAGTAAAATATTTAGTACCTACTTGTCCTGT